GTGGCCTGGGAAAGCAGTCGAGGACAGCCCAAAGCTTTGGGAACCTGCACCCGCATGGGAGACCCGGAAGAATCTCCTGGCTTCGGATCGGCATAGCATGGGCCGTTGAGCTTACTTAGAGAGTGAATCATCGGACGGAAAATCTTCCTCTCTGTCTCTCCTCTCTGTATATCCGCCTTTCCAATAAAAAAAAAATAATAAAAATAAATCTTTAAAAAAAAAGAGTTTTAAGGTGAAACAAATTGCAGAATTATCCTTGGAAGCACCCACTTGACCATGATGTAGAAAGTCTGTGCCAGAGCCTGTGACTGCCTCTGTATATATAAAGGGGATGGCTTTCTTGCATTGTCCATTATGATCCTGAAATTGTAGAGGTCCATTTCTTTATACTTTACGCCTACTCCATGCACCCTTCTCAAGTTATGAACTCGGCTGGAGCTGGACTCCGGCACCATGCAGCTCCCAAGCTGCTAGAAGCTCTGTATAAAGTTGTTTTATACAAAGTGCTCTAATATAAAATTGCTCATGGAACTTACATTCACTGTATTCATTTGAAGAAGGTTTCTATTTTTTTTTTTAAGATTGATTTATTTTACATGAAGATCAGAGCTACACAGAGAGAGATGAAGAGACACACAGATGTCTTCAGTCACCTGAATAAGTCCCCAAAGCCTGCGGTGGCCAGCGTTGGGCTGATCCAAAGCTTAGAGTTAGGAACTTGTTTCTGGGTCTCTCACGTGGGGCCCAAGGCCTAGGGCCATGCTTAAATACTGTGTTCTTACATCACATGGTTCTCATTTTCTACGCAAGGAACAAATTTACCTGTTCTAAGGTTAGCAAAGTTGCAGTAGGAAATGAACTATTTCAGATATAACTAAATGGCTGGTTAAATCTACCCATGAAATAATGTTTGGAGGGCATTGTCATTAAATACCTCGAAATTCTCCTTCTTTTCAAAAATTCAAAGCTTTCCTAAAGAATTCAACAATTTAACCAGCCACACGTAGTTCCAGCTGGTGGGAGGGAGCGCAGAACTAGGCTCCTGACTTGCCAACTGCTTAAATGTGGTTGGTGCCATCTGGGGTTGGGCTGGGCACATGAACAGGAGCTTCTACTTTACCCTTTCCAGCTGCTTAAATGTAGCTGGCACCATCTTGGGTCTCGAGGCCAGGGCAACAGTGAAGCTGGATAAAGCCCTCTGGCTGCCCAGCATGAAGATTTGGGGATTTAGGGGTGTTGGCATATAATATACGAGGGTCTTGTTGTTTGCACAGGTGGAGGTGTGTAGGAAACTGAGTTAATGTCCAGGTGATGAATGTCTTCTGAGGGACTTCCATGGACATTGCCTCTGTTCTAGCAGGTAAGAATGGATGCTGAGACTGAGTTGTTTGGAGCAGGGAATGGGAGGATCTTTAAGGATCAGACTGAAGTACCAGTTTACTTAGGAGGCCTGAGCTGGAGCAGTTAGCATCAACCATCACTGAATATCACTCACAAGCACATACTGAGGCTGGGATGGGGGACCTCCAAGTAGGGCTAGAGGAAGGTGCTCAACAGTGAGAGTCTAATCCGTGATTGGATAATGTGTGGCTGGGCCATGACACTGAGCAGTACGTGAATGAATCTGGATTGCAGGCAGAAGTTGTGGGGGTGTATGGGTGCTCACTCCTGGGGAGTAACCATCTCCACTGGCACATGCAAGAGCCGGAGCTGTGAACAGGACTGGTTGGGGTACTAAGGGTATCTAAGGGGATGCCCTAGCTGGGTTGGGGTTCCCACTGGTCATCACAAGAACCAGAATGGGGGTAACAATCTAGGCTGGAGATGACTACAGTCTCCCTTGACATGGACTGGGTCTAGGGATCACCAAACTGGGCTAGACTCCTGGACCCACTGGTGCTCATGAGAGCCAGCATGGGTGTAGAAGGGGCTAGGCTAGGTCTAGGCTCCAGTTGAACCATATGAGAGTTGTATCTGAGTGTGGACCTGGTATGGCTGGGATACAGCACCCAACAGTGAGAACTGGAATGGTAGTGGGCTGATTGGGCAAGGCCACTTATCCTGCCAGGACAAGAGGTCGACAAAATCTACCTGGGCCAAAGACCTACCGGCATGTACAACATCTGCCATTGGGAGGAGACCTGATAGAGGAGCTTGGGAAACTCCTTTATCAGTATGCAGTTCTGGTAGATGAGCACAAGAACTAAGGCAAGGAATAGCCTTGACCAGGCCAGGTTACAATACCTACCAGCATACATGTGGATCATATCCAGGAGTGGCCAGGCTGGTGTTGTGGGCTGAGGAGTTGATTAGCATTTGTTAAGCTTGGCTCCTGCAGGAAATGGGCTTGGAGGCTAGTGGCACCTTGTCTGTCAGACTCATTAGCATCCAATTGTTCTGCTAGAGGCTTGGGGGAAAGGTATATATGGCTGAATAAAGGGAGGCTGAGAGAGACCTCTTCCACCACTACTGGTCTCCTGTCGGTGTCTGATTCCCTGACCCTCGCCGTGTCCATGCTACCGGCTCAGCTGGCCGGTACAGGCTGGGCCAGTTCATAACATTTAATGCAGATCTGAGAACCAGGGCAGGATGCAGGAGGGGCTGGGTCAGGTTACAACACCAGCCACTTCATATCAGGAACAGTACTCGGGAAGGCTGGACTGGGTATGGATGGGCTGCAGAACCCACCAGCATGAGCTAGAAGTGAGGACAGGCTGGACTGAGCCAGGCTGCAGAATCTGCTGATGAATGCCAAGATGAGGTGAGTCATGACAGTCAAGGGGAGGTTGGTGCTGAGTTCATGAGCCCAGGGGTTGAGAGGCCTAGCAGGGCCCGGGTTGCCTTGCCCAGGTCCTTGGCCCACCTATATGGTGGGTGCTGGGTCTGTAAGCCTCAGTGGTGGGGATCTAAAGGGACCAGGATGCCTGTCCTGCATCCATGGCCTGCCTGCATGATGAGGGCTAGGTCCATGAGCCCTAGTGGCAGAGGGGCCAGCAGAGCCAAGGTTGCCTGGCCCGGGACCTTGGACTGCCTGCACAGTGGGTGTTGGGCCCATGAGCCTCAGGGTTAGGGTCTGGAAGAACCTTTGTTGTCTGTCCTGGGTCCTTAGCCTGCCTGCACAGCAAGAGCCAGATCTGTGAGCTTCAGAAACCAGAGTTTTGGTGGGACTGGGGTCACCTAGCTTGGATGCTTGCCCTTAATATCTGGGTGAATGAAGACTATGTCAGCCAATGGACACTGAAAAGGTTCCATTATCCTTGGATTGGCAAGATCGACAATATTTCAGAACTGTTGAAACCACCTGAGAAGAACTCTCAGAGTATGGGCTACATTGGGACCCTGGCTTGATATCAAGGGGCAATTCTCCATCCCTGGGTTTTGGAGAGGTTGCAAGTCTGGGTTTGGCTTCTACCCTTATCCCTCCTTTTGGCTCCTGGCTTCAGATTGGCTCAGCTCTGGCTGTTGCAGCCACTTGGGGGTGAACCAGCAGATGAAAGATTTCCTTCTCTTTCTTTCTCTCTGTAAATCTGACTTTCCTATAAAAATAAATAAATCTTTTAAAAAAACCCACCCAGATATTTAAAACAATCTTAAATTGGTATATTTTATTTTAAAAACTCATGTATCATGAAGGATTTAAAAAGTACATTTCTAATTTAGAAATCAAGTAAAAAATAACTGGTAAAATAAATCCTGAATTTTTAACACCTTGCCTATTCTTAACACAGTAAAAGAATAGAACAGAAGGTACTGTTACAATTTGTATTCTAGTCTAAAATCTTAGTGAACTTCCAGACACTTTGAAGACAAGTACTTTAAATGCATGAATGGAATCAAAATTTAACATAAAATCACAAGTGCTTCCATCACAAATGCATCACAGCTGTTTAAGAGTTTATATCTTTATATTTTAAAAAAAAACAACAAATACAGATGTGCCATGGAAGCTAATTATTTCCACAACTCATTTCCTGTGGCCTGCAGTAAAGAAAACTTTGCAAATAAAGCCACTCTATTTACTCTTTGTCTTTTTTTTTTAACAATATTTGTTAATTACCAGGCACTATGCTATTCATTGGGAATTGAAAAACTAAGATGATTGATTAGTAAGGAATACTTAATAATCTAATTTTATATGTGAAAAACAATTAGAAACACTTTGCAAAATGGATTCAAATGGCCAATGAGGGAATGATAGGTATTCAATACTACTTTTTATCAAGAAATAGAAATTAAAATCACATTACAGATCTATCCAAATGACTAAAAGTAGAAGACTAGCCAGACCAATTATTTACCCATGTATAGTACAATTGCAGCACTCATTCATGGTGGAAGAGCAAAATGCTACAAACACTTGGCCGCACTATTGCGACATTTCTAACAAAACTAAATACACCTATCCTATGAACTGCAATTTCACTCTCAGATAAACACCCCCCAAAAATAGATACATGTGTCCTCAGACACACACACAGATCTTAATATTAGCTTTAATTAATATGTCACAAAAAACTAAAAACAACTTAAATATCCATAAGTAGGAAAAAAGTTATATTCACAAAATAGAATAATAATAAATTCAGGTGACCTCCATAATGACATAGATGAACCTCAAAAATACATGAAGCAGAAGATTATCCACAAAGTAATTTCATTTGTATGAGGCGGAAGTACAGGATAAATTAGCACATGCAACAGAAGTTACAATCATGGTTACATGATACGTGGCTTGAGGTGTTTATGACTCTGAAAAGAAGCAAGAAGTAAATTTTTGGAATGAAGAAAATGTTCTATTTTAAAAGATTATTTATTTTATGAAAAGTAGAGAGATCTTCCACCCATTGGTTCACTCTCTAATGCCTATAACAGCTGGGACTGTACTGGGCCAAAGCAAACAGTCAGGAACTTCATTAGGGTTACGCACATGGGCAACACGATTAACTTTCTACCTTGAAGAAGTGCTAGTAGGAGTGATCTAATAGTAATCGAATTTGTAAGCGCTCGCTTTGGCAGCACATATACCAAAATTGGAACGACACAGAGAAGATTAGCATGGCCCCTGCACATGGATGACAATTTGTAAGTGCAACAGTATACTTAATGAACAGTGTCCACAGAACTCAGAGAAAGAACTGTAGAGTTGTGTTCTGGAGACATAATAAAGTCATTATAAACATGTGTGATTAAGTGTTTAATTATGACCGTGAGATCCAGAAAATTCTCTCAGTTACTGATTTCCTATTCAGCAGTAACTCGTAAACATTTTAAAACATTTAACTAAATATTCTTTCAGAACAACTCCGTAGACATTTTAGGCATAACTGTTTATTCTGTTATGTACTGTCACATAGTTCACATCACTGTACTCTATGTCTATTGAATCTTTAGTGCCCCTCCTGGGATCAAGGAGCAGGCACAGAGAGAAATAAAACAAATCTTTGCATTTAATCATTTTACACTTTTTCAAAATATCTCTAGCCATTTCTGCTCCATTTTTACTGACACTTACACACTATTGCTCATTCCTACCACACCTGGAGACACAAATGATTCCTCCCCAGTATCCCTGCTTCCCAACACTTTTCCAGCCCCAGTTAATTCATAGATAAGAGTATCATCAATTGTTTTTGATGTTCTGAATCTTTAATGGGGTCTGTGGAGCAATGGGTATCAGTGGTGACATGCCCAGCATGCTTTATCAAGCCTCTACAACCTGCTTCCTGAATTCAAACAGGAATGTATTCCAAGTGGCAGTGATGCTTGGAACAAACACTGGAGAAAAACAATTCTTATCTTTGAAACACATTTTTAATGTATCACACGGAGTTAACATTTTTAAAACTAAGTCCATTTTAGGTATGATATAGTCTGGATTCATCTATGGGGAAATCTGCTTCAGTCTGAATGTGTTCATTCTTTCAAAAATTACTTGCTGATACTGTCTGTGTACTCCATCACAGTTGAAATATTGAAATGCTAGAACCACTCTATCTTCAGTGACAGCAACTCCAAGATCTAAACCTGATACATGCAGAGTTTTCTCAAACTTTTGCAAAATCCTTCTACCTAGACTAGTGGTTAAAGTCTTTGCCTTATGTGCCTGAGGATCCTATATGGGCACCCACTATATGGGTGAGGATCCAAATGGGCTGCTCCACTTCCCATTCAACTCCCTGCTTGTGGTCTGGGAAAGCAAATAGAGGACAGCCCTAAGCCTTTGGACCCTGAACCCACATGAGAGGTGGTTGCTGGCTTCTGCTTTTGAATCAGATCAGCTTTGGACTGTGCCCACTTGTGGAGGAAACCAGCCAAAAGAAAATCCTTTTCTCAGTATAACTGCCTTTCCAATAAAAAAAATAAATATTAAAAAAATTCTTCTCCCTATAAGAGTAAATGCAACCAGCAATAACAATTGAGCTCCCTGCTAGAGCCATAGTTTCCCAAGAGGTCTAGATAAGGTGGATATGGAAATGTGCCCTAAAACTGAACCCCTTCACATTTTAAAATGCTAGCTTTTAAAAAAGCAAAAACTTGAAAGGTCAACCTGGTGCTCTCTCCTGGAATCCTCTGAGGAGACAGTTGCCATCTCTCATTATCTCAGATTTTACAATCACTATGCCCTCAGATACAAAAACAAAATCATTGTTTTAAAAAGAAGACATTGTCATTTGAAACAAAAATAATTTCTTATGTTGCCTATGGAACTATATCATAAAATGATAATAATAATAATAAGAAGGAAGTAAAAAAAAAAGAAAAGAAAGCTCTTAGGGCCAAAAAAAATTTGTTATGTAAATATCAGCATCTTGTAGAATAATTTGATTCCTGTTTAGGTAGCTTTTAAGGCTAGTAACATTGTCTACTAGAAAAGCAAACAAACAAACAAATGAAAAATACAGGTACTAGGCTTTTTTGTCAAAATAGTTGACCCAATTTACATATTCATCCACTGATGTTTTGTGTTTCTTTCCTCCTACTTTGCATTCCAGTTACAGTCTGGCAATGGGAGGATGTTTTCAACCACAAATTTGATATTCATACATCATCAGTTTGGGGATAATTTTCAGGCTGTAATTGTAGAATGATTTGATTTTTGTTACTCATTTTGCTTTAATAAAGGATCTGTGCTAGTGTTTTGATAAGTTCTTTTTGAACAAAATTCCCTCAAAAATTTCCAGTCTGTGAAAGAAGAAAGCTTGTTCAAATAATCAGTTCAGAACATTTTTGTGTATACTAAAATGCTGCTCCAATATTTAAAGTGGTTTTTAAAAGTTCAATCAGTGAATCTGCATTTAAGCATCTTAGACCCCCTACCCCCTTTTCTAAGAGGGCGCAGAGACCTTGTGAATCTGGAGCTCAATATACTTCCTGGTTTAATGTCCTTCAAAAAGTCATAGTAAATGTGGAGTCCATGTTTAAGAGCCAAATATTTTATCTTCCCTTTCCCCTTTGTATTGGAAGTGCACTTGCCAATGCCATCATTGCTCACAGAGAATAGTAGCCATACATACCATTTGAAGCAATTACAGGCATTTTCTGCTTAGCTAGGTCAGAGCAGGCTTTGGAGAATATGGAAAACTACAATGGAGGTGGGGCAATGTTGTGGTCCAGCTGGTGTCCCACACTAGAGTGCCAGTTGGAATCTGAACTGTTCCATTTCTAATGTGGCTCACTGCTAATGGACATACGAAAGCAGCAGCAAATGATGACCCAAATACTTGGGTCCCTGTCGTCCCCTGTTGTCCATGTGGGATGAAGTTCTTGGTTTCTAGCTTAGGCTATTGTCATTTCAGCAGACAGACTTTCCTTCTCTTTCTTGCTCTCTCTCATCCTGCTTTTCAAACAGCTATTTCCCTTTGTTTAATAAAAGCTATAGTTTAAAAAGCTACATTTGTATATCTTGGGATAAGCATTTAATATATCAGTCAAGATGCCACTTGGGCTACCAGCATTCCATATCAAGGTTCCTGGCTTTAAGTCAAGTGTGAGAAGTCAGACAGGATAAACAGTTAGGGTTTCTGGTCCTTGGTTACTTTTTAAAAATATAAATCATATTTCTCCCCATTTTTTTTAAGAGAACAATCTCCCTTTGAGGGAGGACAAAGGGGCAGAATTAACATATCAATTCACCATCTCAGAATTGTTGTTCTGGCAAAAGCAAGGAGAAGTGACTCAACTAATATCATCTTTGGGTGACAACAGTCATGGTGCATGAGTGATCAGTAAAATCATTAGAATGAAAGGAGGAAGTTAACCAGTCCCATCCTTCTGATGTTCTTTGATTCTTTACCAGGTGCTATTGTGAACAATTTTGTCCATTGGGTAATTCCCCTGAGATGGGGCATAAAAGACACCATTTTCACCATTATCTCGGGCTTTCTTTTTTTTTCCTCTTTCCTTCCTTGGACTCCCATTTCCTGCCACTATGACAGGAGATCTGGGGTCTTTTCCTACTTGGAGCCCCCTCCTGTCACTAGGGCAGGAGCCACTTTCTCTCTTTTTCTTAAATGAAACTTGCTTTGCTAACTGGAATTGTCCGCATAAAAATTCTTCCTTCGTGTAAAATAAGAAACAAGGTTGCTGCCATGTTTCTCATTGAATTACCTACAATAGTATTGGTGCCATGACTTGGATTTTGCCAGCGTGACTTGAGTTTAACTCCAGCCAGCTTTCTACCATCTCATCAGACAGTGAACAAGCAGGCTATTCTCTTTCTCTAGCTTCTGTTTCTCAGAGACCTAGTTCTCCACAACTAGTAACTCTTTCACGAAAAGACACACCAGGTTCCTGTCAGCCAGTTAAATGTGGTTAGCATAGCTACCAGCCTTCAAGACTCAGGAGCCAGGCTTCCTGGAACAGGCTAAATTAATACCTTGGAATTGGGGTGATGTTCTAATCTTTTCTGCTGGTGAATTGGTCCCTCATGAAGGATGAGTAAGTATATGGAGGGAATTTTGTTGCCAGGTGTAGCTGCTAATAGATACACCTGATCTATACACCTGATCCTGATAGATAGCCAGGACCAACACCTTCCTTCCAAGCTCTAACACAGGACATCTTTGCTCAGGCTTAGAGAAATCAGGTTTGTCAACTTGTGGTTAAAACAAGTTTCAGAGGCAAACGGCGAATATACTGTGTCTGGCAGTAGTCCCAGATTCAGTATGACATAGGAAATGGGAAATGATTAATCTCAGCACACGTTATTTCTGACTTGTATACTCTCAGACACTCAAGGTTCACAAAACCAGCATATATCTGACTGTGCAGAGGCCTAGGTCCAGCAATGCACAGGGAGCAGATCACTCACTCCTGACACATGCTATTCTAATCAAGGTATCCCAAAGGCGTGGAAGGCTGAGTGACCTTGCATGACATGTACTGATCTCACCCTCACCTTCCTCCCTACCCTGTGAGCCTCAGAGCACATCTGAATGCTACAGGCTGGCTATAGAGGTCTTGAGAGCCATCTCAAAGTCAGGAGAGATAGGAACTGAAGGACGCTTCGGTTTTTATGCTCTCATTTCAGTACTCCTGGCACATGCTGTTCTGACAATTATGTCCCAGTACAAAACCATGCTGGAGTCCCAGATCTAGCATGGAACAGGGAATAGGGGACTGAACAGAGACACCCTTCGGGGTGCCACCTTAGCCAATGGGATTCTTCTGAACACCAGAGCTTAAACAGAAAGTGTCCGATTTTTTTTTTTTTCTACACCACACCCTGGCCTGCTTTTGAGCTAAAGAATGGAGAGAAAATTAAACTAGAAGGGCCCTCTTTGAACAGGCTGATTGGATGAACTCTGCTGCTGTGCTGGCTCCTGCTCCAGGAGAACCTCTCAAAGGTGGACACATGAGCTCTTACCACAGAGATCAGGAGGGGATCCCATAGCAAAGCAGGAGGAGAAGAGAGGTGTGTCCTCCTGGACCCAGTGCAACCCCCAGGGGCTTTCCAAGTGTTTTTCACTGCAGAAGCAGTTGACACTTTACCAAGGATTTTCAGGACACCTAGGGCCATTTCCCACTTGCAAAAGAGATCATTGGAAACTTGACTGTCCTCAAAGGCCAAGAACTTCAGGGTCAGCCAGTTCCTACTGGATTTCC